TGGCACACAGTGGGTAGGGGTGGGGAGGTCTGAGTGTAGCTCGGATGACAAGTAGGTGCACCTTAGTGTACACCAAATTGTGCTTTTCTTTCTCTTTTTAATTTTTTTTTCTTTTTAAACTTTTTGCAACTTGTGCTCACTGGAGAGAAACAGAGAAGGAAAGAGAGAAAGGGAAAGGGAGAGATCACCCCCCAATAGGGATGGCCATGCTGCAGTCCCTTCTTTTTTTTTTTAAAGAATTATTTTATTTAACTTTATTTATTATTATTTTCCAGTTTGATCAGAGAGAGATAAGAGAGTGAGAGAGAGAGGGAAAGCGAGAAAGCCAAAGCCACCAGGTCAGGGACTTGAACTGCGGTCAGCCATGTAGGGAGTCCAGTGCCTTTAACCACCATGCCACCTGCCGGGCCCAGTCCCTTCTAACTGTATCCTCCTCTCAGGATTTTGGGCACACACACCCATGTGCGTGGTGAGCTTTCCAAGTTGCCAGGTCTGGGCCTCGAGCCACATGCTTGGCCATGTGGGATCCAGCCACCTTGACTAGCACACCACCCGGCTGGGCCCCGAACTGCGATTTTCTGGAGTTCTGGTTTGCTGCCTCTGACTTCCTTCCCGGTAGTTGGAACCAGGCAACTCGATGGCGGTGGAGGCCTGGAATGAGCCTGCTTTAAATGCAGGTAATTGCTCTGAACATTCCCAGGTCTTCGCGAGAAGGTGGCAGGGCGTTTGTTCTCCTTCAGGGCAGTGACTTCACTTGGGTTTTTGGGGTCGAGGGTGTGTCCGTTTCAGGCAAGGTGTCCTACTGGATTGCGGTAATGGTGTGTGGGGGTGTCCTGTTCTGAGACATCCTGCCGAGTCCTCATTAATAAGGGCTATGTCCCCTCGCCCATGATCACAGACAAGGCCCTGGTACTGCTCCAGCTTCTTGGCTGGTCAAGTGTGGCCCAGCGGTCACTGCCAGCCTGCTGGTGGAGGTTAGAGGAGAGCCCAGATGGGGAAGCCGGGGCTGGCAGGGTGCTGTGCAGGGTGTGGGGGGAGCAGGCGCAGAGCCCTGGAGAGGATACCTGCCTGGGCACCCCCCTTGGGCTGAGCCCCGTGGGTAGGGGGAGGCAAGGCCAGTTTCCAGGCCGACACCTGCTGCCTCTCTTCCTCCACAGCCTGTGCAGGGCAGGTTCTAACACCTCCACGGACGCGGACAGGGGCCATCAGTTGCTAAGCACGTATTTACTGGGCACATACTACGTGGCAGCCATTGCCGGCGCTGGTGGTCACAGCTGTGCACCAAACACAGAACTCCCGGGTCTGCATCCAAGCAGAGGGACGAGAGTTGCCAGGACAGAGAAGGTGCTTGCACACAGCACAGTGGGGAGCTGACGTCCAGCCCTGAGTCTGGAGCCCACTCCACCCACCACTTCCCTAGTGGGCCAGGCCCTTCCTGCACCAGACTCCAGACTCCTGTGGAGGAGGGGAGAGGAAGAGCAGAAAGGAAAGTCGCCAGAGGGGCCGCTGGAGTCCTGGGCCAGCCGAGCTCTGGCCTCTCCTTCCTCCCCCCGACGCGTGGGGGATCCATGCAGAAAACTTCCCCTCCACTCCTTGGTGGATGTGCTCCGGGCCGGGGGGTGCCTGACAGGCCCAGCTCAGTGTGTGCTCAGGAGCTTGTGGCCGCCCCTTCAGCTGCCGTGAGTCCCAGGGGGATTTTGCTGCGCAGAGAGTGAGACACCCCAGCAGGGTCTTCAGGCCATGACTGCCTCGCCAGCCCGGACCATGGGCACTCACTCGTATGTGTGCCTGGCCTGGACGGGGACCTTGGGAAGAGAAGTTGGGCCTCCCCCCCGGGGGGTGACACGAGTGTCGCATTGCTGCTGTCCCAAAGACCAGCAGCCGAGGTGGGCCTTGCTCCCGAGTCGCTTCTCTCTGACGGACTGATGGCTGAACCGTCCTTGGGCTGATGCCACAGGCCTGGCCGCTGTCCAGGGAAGAAGGGGGCAGCTGTGCGGGTCTTGATCTCCAAAGCCCTGCAGCAGCCTCTCATGTCCCTTCATGGGCCTACAGTCGGGGTGTTCAGAGAGCGCCCTCGGGGAGAAGGGAGAACTCCCACCTTGAAGACCTCAGCCAGCCAGGGAGGGGTGGGACAAGGACAGGGAGGTCTCAGGGGGCCATGCATGAGATGCCACCATGGGCCTGCCCTGGCTCCCTCCTCAGAGCAGGTTCTTGCTGGGCCACAGCACCCTGCCAAGTTCCCAGGGTCGCCCCCGTAGGTGAGCCAGCAAGCTGTCCATGTGGGATTCCCCGTGTGAGAGCTAGGACTTATGCCATCCCACAGGGACTGAGCCTCTTCTGGAATAAAAGCAAACACTTCCCATATGGACACGGACTCGGCGTGTTGAAAGCAGCTTTATGAGGCAGGGATGTTAGACTCTTTTTTTAGGAATTATTTTATTACTATTTGTAAAAACTTGCTATAGGGCATGTGTGCTCACCAGAGAGAGAGACAGAGAGAAAGGGAAAGTAAGAAAGAAAGCTGCCACATCCGGGCC